GAGAGAGAGATTGGTTTAGCTAGCTTTGCTTGCCCACGGACGGCCGCGCATGTGACTGGCAGGTTTCTACGCCCCAGAGCACACAGATAAAAGACCGTTAGCGCAAATGCACTAACGCAAACCTTTGGGTAGGGCAAACATTGTGCTCAGGACACCCTCTCTGAGGCTTCCATCCAGAGTCTTAGCTGCGATGTTGACCTGTTGCTGTGAAATTGTAAGAGTCACAAAACATCTCCGACACGGACCAGTGGCAGGCAGGCAGTGTTCAACTTTTGACCACAGTTTTGAGCCCAAAGTTTCCGTGGCTAAATGAGACAAGCGGGTTTTGCCCCGTTTTACAACCTTTCTTGCCCTAAGTGAGGCATCGTGCGCTGGATAAGTTAGTGACCTGGTCGTTAAGCGAACCTGGCTTGGACTTCGCTTGTCAGAAGGTTGCCAAAGGAGGATCACGTTGCCCCCCTCCCCCCGGGACGCTGCAACCGTCATAAAGTACATGCCAGTTGCCAAGCATCTGAATACGTGATCACAAGGATGCTGCAACGGTCACTTAAGCAAGGACTTCCTTCACGCTCCGGTCTGATTCGGTGAGCAGCTAAATGAAAACCCTCTAGATTATTTTTCTGCTCCTCAGCCAAGATTTCTGACTCAATCCTTGGTCAAAAATAGCTGCGACGACAACACACACATCTACACAACCACTCGAAATTCATCTGTTCTGTCTTCTTCTCTGGTCTGTAGTCACTCAGATGTAAAAATTGGTCTTTGCGTACGGTTTGGTCCTACTCAGCCGCTGCTCCTGAGTCACTTCCAACTCTGTAAGCCACGAGTAATATAGACTAGAATAGAATAGATAATCCTTGACTTACAACGATTCGCTTAATGCCCGTCTTGAGAGAGCTTCCTCCCTCTTTCCTTCCCTCCCTCCTGATTTCAATTACCTCCCTCTCTCCTCCACTTCTTTTCTTTCTCTTTCCTTCCTTTTTCTTTGTTTCTTTCTCCTACCTTCCTTCCTTCTTTGTAATGGGAAAATTGGCCTGAAAATGAACATTTGAGAAAGATTTGTGTCATGGGGGGAAAAAAACCAAGGGAATTTGCATTTAAATTTGCTTTCTTGGGGATTTTCTAAATATACAGTGCTTTCATAATTTCTAAAATTATGTTTTCACTTTGTCATTATGGGGTATGGAGGGAAGATTAATGAGGAAAAAAAAACAAATCCACAACTATGGAATCGGGCTGCAGCATAACAAAATTGACAAGCAGGGGTCCGAATACTTTCTGAACGCACTTTATATATGTATTAAAAATATTTGTACAGCCAAGTGACCTCAACCAAAATCCCACCAAATATAATGGGAAGAATACAAAACCACAATATGTAAACCATTCTACTCTGCTCTATTATTCTAGTCTATTGGTATTCTATTTTCTCTCTTTTCTATTTTCAATTCAATTCTAATTTCTATTTTTTATTTTCTATTCTATATTCTATTGCTATTCTATTATATTGTTTATTTTCTTCTATTCTGATTTCTATTTTGTTCTATTCTACTCTACTCCTTTCCGTTCCATTCCATTCCATTCCTTATTCTATTCTATTCTATTGTATTCTACTCCACTCCACTCCATTCCTTATTCTATTCCATTCCATTCCTTATTCTATTCTACTCTACTCTATTCCATTCCTTATTCTATTCCATTCAATTCCTTATTCTATTCTATTCTACTCCATTCCATTCCTTATTCTATTCTATTCTATTCTACTCCACTCCATTCCTTATTCTATTCTACTCTATTCCATTCCATTCCTTATTCTATTCTATTGTATTCTACTCCACTCCATTCCATTCCTTATTCTATTCCATTCCATTCCTTATTCTATTCTACTCTACTCCATTCCATTCCTTATTCTATTTTATTCTATTCCATTCCTTATTCTATTCCATTCCTTATTCTATTCTACTCTACTCCACTCCTTATTCTATTCCATTCCATTCTATTCTGATTTCTGTTCTGTTGTAGATTGATGTAGGCATCCTCTGTCTTAAAGCCTATTTTTTTCCACTTGGCTTTTACTGCTTGACTGAGTGCAGAGGAAAATTGTCTCTTTCCAACCCAGAGAAGGAAAATATGAGAGAAGTCTGTGATTTTTCCACCCCTCCTTTGCTCCACCGACTCTTGAAGATGTCAGCCTGGATTAACGCTGCTGCTGGCTCTCCTCTGCCGAGATGCTTGTATGCTATGGAAACCCCAGGTTGTTGTTTTTTAAGCAGCAAAGCGAATTAATCCAGTTTTCCCTTTAAGCCCATGTCTACTTGCCAAATGCGATCAACGTTCCCTACAGGTGAGGTCACGGGACGCCAAGGAGACAAGCGAACAGAATTGGCATCTCTCCGCCTCTCCGTTACGCTCATCAGACAAACCCAACTAGGATTAGCATGGAGGGCAAATCCGGGTTTATTCGACAGCTCAGCCCAAAACCTTTGCTGCGGATGCAGCCACGTTCCCGTCATTTGATTTTTTTTTTTTTCCCTGCAGAAAATAATATATATAGCCCAAAACAAAGGCCCAATTTTGCAACCTGCAAATAAGCCTGTTGTAAATGTGGGATGCAGTGGCTCAGTGGTTTAAGACGCTGAGCTTGTCGATCAGAAAGGTCGGCAGTTCGGCGGTTCGAATCCTTAGCGCCGCGTAATGGAGCGAGCTCCAGTGACTTGTTCCAGCTTCTGCCAACTTGGCAGTTCAAAAGCATATAAAAATGCAAGTAGAAAAATAGGGACCACCTTTGGTGGGAAGGGAACAGCGTTCTGTGTTTCTTCAGCATTGAGTCATGCCGGCCACATGACCACAGAGACATCTTCGGACAGCGCTGGCTCTTCGGCTTTGAAACGGAGATGAGCACCATCCCCTAGAGTCAGGAACGACTAGCACAGATGTGCTTTATCTTTACCTAAATGTGGGATGTTTTGTTTTTTCTTCCGTTTAGGGACCAAAGCATCTCTCTTGCAGCTCTTTATCACTTTGATGGGTACCCATTTGGACTCAAAAAACGGGGGTGGGGGGGAAACAGAATAAATATAAACGAGAGGAGGAGGGAGAGAGATGCAAGAAGAGAACGGCAGGGTTAGCAGCTCAGGCTACACCGTGCCTTCCTTAGGTAGATGGTGACGGATTCCTTGCTGAGACATTCAACCTTGATTTGCTGTCATCTAGAGCTAATCCATCAGAATATAGTTTGGGCGGGGGGGGGGTTCGACTAGATGACCTACAAGGTCCCTTCCAACTAATCTGTTTATGATTTAACAGAAACAGGCCTCTGTAATAGGCGGAAGGTAAATGAAATTTAAAGAGACTGGAGCAGGCTCTTTCCGGTGATAACAACACAGCCCTAAATTGTGACCCTCCGGGATGAATTCCTGCACTGCCAACACTCTTGTGTTGTTCACAATCTTTTAACCCACCACCACCACCACCCACTGTACGTACACACGCACACATATAAAATAGAGTCTTCTCGTTTCCATAGCAACTCCCACCAGCGGCCTTTTCCTATTGCCCAAAGCACCGGCGATCAAAATTAAATTTAAATTTTACCACCCCACCCCAAAATAAAATTTGAAATAAAAATGGCACCCCAGTGCGGGTGGGGGGGGGGAAGAGGTTTGCAATGACTTCTCGCCCCCTTCTTCTTCTGCTCCAGCAACAAAGCATCGGTTTGAATAGAGATGAAGTTGTCGGATTGTGTGTGTGTGTTGGGGGCACGGCTTCAATCACGTTGGGAGGTTTTTGTTTTTTTTAAGGGGCTGGAGACCAGCATCCTTCTTGTTTTGGGGTGGGGATTTGGCTAATTGGAAATAGCCCCCCCTCCCCTACCTTCCATTTCCCTTCTCTGCACATGGTTGTAATCTGGAAATGGACCAGGAACCACTTTTTTCCTTCAAAGCATCCTCCCGTGGCATCTTAAGGATGGATAATTGGAATTATGTTTTTTCGGGCTTTGCAGTGGGCGATTTTGTTAGCATCCATGGGTATGTGTGTGTGTGTGTGTCACAAACCCCCCTTCTTTTTTTTCCTGTGGAGGAGACCCCCTATGTCTTGTGAAAATGCCGGCCCGTCCCCTCAGATTTTGCTAAGCCAAAGTGACAAGTGAGATTTAATTTTAATTTTAATTTTATTTGCAAATGGGGGGGGGGGGGAGCTTACGTGGCAGGTGGCCTGCGCGGCTGCCAAGAGGGAGAATTTCCTCTCCCAATGATTCAAGGCCTTTAATTGGGGTTTGGAGGCAGAATAACGGAACACATCATCATTCTCTGCACCCCATCCCGGTTTCCAGCATCGCAGCAGCTTCCTCACACAGGCGTCACGAGGCCATTGACAGCAGGGTTTCCGTCGCTAAGCAATGCGCCCGTTCAGGGGGGGGGAGCCGCCTCCCAATTTTACCATCTTTTTTGCCCTGTTGTTTTTTTGTGGTCGTTGAGGGAATCGCGCCGTCGCTAAGCAAATCCAGCTGCTCCCATTGACTTTCGGAAGCAAAGATTCATAAATTTATAAATCTACGTGCCCAAGTGGCTGGATTTTGATCCTATGACCTTATGGGTTGAGCAAAATGCAGCAAAACAGAACCCTCTGGGGTTCTGTTGCCAAAATAAAAAATCAAATTCTGCACATGCTCAGGAACCCTGCGTCAGCAGCACCCAATTCCGATTTCATTCTCCTTAAAGATTTATTTTTGTGTAGGGTTTGGGATAGCTGCATATGACTCCACTTCAACTCGGCTCATCATTTGGAAAATCTATCTTTCTCTTTCTTTCTTTCTTTCTTTCTTTCTTTCTTTCTTTCTTTCTTTCTTTCTTTCTTTCTTNAAGAAGAAGAAGAAGAAGAAGAAGAAGAAGAAGAAGAAGAAGAAGAAGAAGAAGAAGAAGAAGAAGAAGAAGAAGAAGAAGAAGAAAAGATTCTTGTCTCTAGATCTTTGAGATGGCTCCCTTTTCTTGTTTGAACAGTGTTTAGGTTCGACTTTCCGAGAATTTATGAAGAAAGACGATGTGGGCAGAATTTCTGAACGCAATTAAAATGGCTGTATTTGATCTCTACGTTATCTGTGATCTTGGATTCACACTTTTGCTTAAGGGTGACAGTTTTATTGGATTAGGCTAATTCCAAAAATTTAGCCACCGTCCAATGCTAGGTGGGCTTCTAAATATTTCTTAGAGGTAAACGAGGCAGCCAAGTAAACGTTAAAGATATTAAAATACATATTTCCAATTCATGGTTAAATGGACTTTTCAATTTTATGATTATTTTAGAAGGGATTTAAAAGTCTGGCAGAATTAACCCATTGCACAGAAGGGTTCAGGATTAAAATGGGAGGTAATGAACCATGCACTGGCCAGGTACTGTTATGTTTATTTTATTTAATTTATTTATATATCACATTTAGAAAGTGCCAATCTCTCTCCCATAACTGTAGCTACATAATGCATTGAAGTTTTAGCCACGCCAAATTCCTAAGGCGAACTGCTTCAGAGATGCTTTCTTTTTTAACAGAAAGCATCTTGGTCATACATAATTCAAAAAAATAAGCAAACAAGCCCGAAACCATCTTTCCAAAATTGCTCCTAATGAGACGGCGTTAAGTTCTTTGCAAACTCACTCTTCCTCTGTTAGGGCCGCTTCTGCATTCTTGGAGTAGTGAGCTGTTTCGGCCCATACATTTTTGTGGCTCTTTGTGTAACCCAAGTGAATCGAGGCGCGAAGTATATTTTAAGGATTGTAAATATCCTTAAAACGTAGAAACGGCAGGGGGAAGAACTCAAAACTGGGTTGATGCGACAAAACAGGGGTTTTTTTCCCCCCCCCCAATTTTGTTCTGCAATCTTGACATCCCATAAGGCAACCCAGAATTGCTTCTGAATGGCTCGTTTGTCCCTTCTTACACCCCAGATCTGTCCGGAGGTCTAACTGAGATATTTCAGGAAAGCACTAAATCAGATATGCTGAAGTGCCGTGACTTTTGATCTCTCCCACCCTGGCTTTCCTCCGAGCCTGTGCCTGTGACTTTTCTACATTTTTCTTCTTACTTTACACGGCTCTGTGGTTACATTTTGAGTCACATTTTTTTTTCTCCCCGGGAAAGGAACAGATAAGGTGGTCTTTTTTCTTCTTCATCCCAGTCCTAGCTACCCTACCGGTTCTGCGTCTAGCAACATCGGTGGGGCAAATTAATCCAAAAGACAGATGTGGAAAAATGCAGATGTCAGGGTGTCAGCTGAAATATGAGTACCGAGTTTGCAAATGCCCTTTGATTTTTCTCCTAAGTTGGAAAGAGATGGTTCGCCCTCCTTTCAATTTCAGGACTGCACAAGCTGTCTCCAATTCCGCCTATAAATTTCACACACACACACACACACACACACACACACACACACACACACACACAC